GTGAAAGTACAGCACCCACCTCATTTGTTTGGGAGAGAGAGCTTTCATGGTATTCTGAGTATCTCTAAGTTTTGTGGTTCGTCCACACCTCAAAAGAAATCTTACTATCCTTAAGTAAATGTTGTCAAATCATTAGGGCCCAGCATACAGTATAGGCTTCCTTCTCCCATACTGCTCATCTGCACTCAGCTTCCGAGAGTTTCCTAGAAGTGTAGGTGCATGGTTACAGGACCCCTTGGGTTTTTTTGGAGGAGGACAGCCCCTACAGTGACATCACTGACATCCACCTGAATGACAAAACGGCTTATCCAGGTTGGGTGTTTAAGGATGGGCTCTGCAGTGAAAAGTCTTTTGAGCTTTACAAAAGCTGTTTGGCACTTCATAGTTCTTTTGAATGATTGACTCAGTCGTGGTTTACTCGCCCCTTTGGTTTTTAGCAAATTGGTGATTGTTAATGTAACCTGGGCAAAAGCAATGATGAATTGCTTTTTGGAAACCCCAGAAAGTTTTGTAATTGTTTCCTAGTGTAAGGAGCTTCCCATTCGAATGTTGCTCACACTTTCTCTGGGTCCATCTTCATGCGAGATACGGTATCCCAAGTAGTCCAGTTGGTATAGAGATGTGCTGTGCTGCACAATTTCTGAAAGATTGTCCTAATGTACTTAACCTGCTCGTCCATGGTCTTGGTGTAAATCAGAATGTTGTCCAGATAAACTAGGACAGCCTTATATAGGTGTTCATCCAGTACTTCATTAATTAGTTCCATGAAGATGGCAGGGCTCCCTGTAGGCTGAGTGGGAAGACTTCAAATTGGAAACACTCCAGCAGGCAGTTCTCCATTCATCCCCCTCCCTGATACAAACTCTATAGTAGTTTGGGGAAGATTTTTCCTTTTGCCAACTGGTTCATCATGTCTTTCATCAACAGCAAGGGATACACATTTTCCATGCAAATTGCATTAAGCCTGCAGTAATCCTTGCACATTCTAGGAGACCAGTCTTTCTTCTCTTGAAACAGTACTGGGGTCAGGCAGCCATGCATAATTTTCCAAGTTGGATGAACCTCGGGCTAAATTCTTTTCAATGAAAGACTGGAGTTTTTCTAACTCTCTGGATGTAATCGAGTAAAGTCTGGCCTTTAGTAGTTTGGCTCTGGGTAAGATCTCTATTGCACAGTCCATGGGATGGTGGGGGGAGGGGAGCACATCCAACTCTCATCTACTAAACACATCCTCCAGTCCCTGGTATTCGCTAGGAATAGCTAATTGCCTCCTCCTGCTCTTAGTCTGAAGCTGTGCTTTTTCCTTTTGCTTTCTTAATAAGCCGCACATGGCTACATGGTTTCACTTTCTCTGTGATTTCCTGTCCTGAGGATTTTGGGTGGATTTTCAATGCTTTCCTTTTCCAGTCTATGGATGGATTCCGTTTTAGCAGCCATGCCAGTCCAAGTACCATGGTGTGGTCCATGCCCAGGATCATGATAAATCAAATAACCACTTCATGGCTCCCCATCTTTGCTTCTATCAGCATAATCATAAACATTGCTGGCCTTCCCACTTGTGAGCTGTGTGAAAGCTGCTGGGATTTTTTTGCTCCTTGAAGCTGCAGTCCAAGCTTCTCCACTACACTTGGGTTAACTAGTCCAGCAGGGCTATTATTATATCTTTGCACCCTGAGGAAGCCACTGTTAGCTCTACTTGGATCATTACTAGGATGTTGGGGCCACTTAGATTGTGTCTCTGCTGTCCTTGTCCTGATCTACTGGTGGGCCTCTGATCGTAGGATCTTTGCTATTGCTGTATGATAGAGTGAACTCTATGATCTCCACTCCTCTCAAGGCTCCCTCTCTGCCTTTAAACATTGCTTTGGCCTTCTTAGGTGCTTCTCAGGCTACGATGGGGGTCTGGCATTGTGAGGAGCAATCGACCGTTTGGTGGCCCTTCTTGCTGCACTGAAAGCACCCAGGCTGCATTGCTCTTCCCAAGCTACCCCTCCCCATTGTCCAGTCACATTTAGAAAAGATGTTTTAATAATGTTCCCTGTTGTTGTTGGTAGATGGATAAGTGCTTCATTCCATTCCCAGAACCATGGTTTTCAGACATCTCAGGACAGCATGACTATCACGTTTAGTTTTCCATATCTTGCGTGCAGGTTCCCCTTCTGATTTCCCCATGAGATCCCCTCTCCCCATAAAGTTTGACAGACTGGCATCTAAGTGAATAGAAGTGAACAAAGGATGGCAGCTCTGACACACATAGCCCATCTATTATAATTATCTCCTTGTTTGTAAAGTCCATCCATTTTCTTTTTCCTTTGATGTCAAATAATCAACATTGGCCTAAAGTTTTGGTCTAATTAATTTCATATAAATTAAAAGAACTTTTGCCAATACTAATATTTCAAAATTATACCTTTAACTGTCTCAAATATGTTTTTTTAAAAGGTAACTGGACTGTTTATTCCTTAAAGAAGAAGAAGAAAATGTTTTATGTCTCATCCAAGAAACTTCATCAATTGTGATTTATTGTCTATCTGTCCGTCTGTCTCTCTTTCTCTCTCTCTCTTATCTATCTATCTATCTATCTATCTATCTATCTATCTATCTATCTATATCTAATCTTCCACATTTCAACACTGCCCATCTCACCTAATAGACTTTGGGAGGCTTACAATTAAAAAGTGAGAAAGAAAATTTTAGCTTTCTTTGTCTTGTCAATATCAGACCCATGATAAGCCAAATGCATGGTACCAGTCATCAGTCATTTACTCAAAAAGGTGTGTATTTTTAGTTAGATTCAAAGCAGTGAAAAGATGATATTCTTTTACTGAGGAATAATTCAGATCATGAACTAAGTACTTTGTTTTGTCAGTCAATGAGTCCATGTTTTGAAGTCTACTTTTTTTAGGCAATTATATTTTCCCATCATTTATGTATTAAATTTATATGCCCATTTCACTATCAAGTGACTTTAGGCGGTTTAATATGATATGATGCACAGAATAACTGTTAGTTGCTTAATTTTTATTGTGTATATTCAGACTACCCTGCTGTTCCCCACATGATAACTATATAGGTAGTCCCCAACTTACAGCCATTCAAACTTACAACAGCACTGAAAAAAGTGATTTATGACCATTTCCCACAACTACAACTATTGCAGCATCCCCATGATCACATGATCAAACTTCAGATGGTTGGCAACTGACACATATTTATGACAGTTGCAACCTTATGATAAGTAAAGTCAATGGGGAAGCCAGATTCACTTAACAACTGTGTTACTAACATAATAACTACAGTGATACATTTAACAACTGTGATAAGAAAGGCTGTAAAATAGGCAATCCTCACAACAACTATCTTGCTTAGCAACAGAATTTTGGGCTCAATTATGGTTGTACATTGAGGACTACTTGTATTGCCATATTGATCTTAAGGTTAAGTAGCAATGAAAAACCAAGGCAGTTTAAGTGGACACAAATATTTAGGCAGTTAAGGGTTGAGTTCCAACCACTTAAGTTCAACAAGAGAATAGGCGGAGGTGCAATTTCCTGCTCAATGTAAATGCATACAAGATCAATGGAAAAAATCACAATTATAAGTAAGCAGTCTGTAGTTAACAGTTTCCATTATTTTTTTCTTTTTTAAAATATATATTTCTAGAATTATGAAAGAAAAATGGTCTACATTGGATAACAACAGTTGAATAACAAAAAGAGAAACAACTAAATATAAACAAGACTTAAATACATTCTCAGAAAACTCTCTCCCCTTTCCTTCCATTTATTTCCCTAACCACTAACCACAACTTAGATACTTAAACTTTACATTATACATTATTGTTAGTATCAATTTAAATCCTTTCATTCATTATCCTATTGATTCCACAACTTTGTTCCTAAAAGCAGGTTTTAAATATTCTAAATTTGCCATGCAATACAATGAATAGTTTGTTACTTATGGCTGAGAAACTTGAAGACTCTGAAAAAGGCAGATAGGAGAAGGGTGGGTATCTTTGAACTGTGGTGTTGGAGAGTTTTATGCATTCCAGGGACTGCAAAAATAACAAAGAAGTTCTAGACTAGCGGTCCCCAACCTTTCTGGCTCTGAGACCAGCTGTGGCAGGGGACAGAGGGGATGGTTTCACAAATGCACCTGCCACTTGCATAAATGGAGCTTTGTGTGCTTGCATGCTCGTTCACCATTTGTGCAGCTTAGTTCCCAATGAGGCACAGCCTACTACCAAGCCGCAGAGTGGAGGTTGGGGACCCCTGTCCTAGACCAAACTTTACCAAAAATACCACTTGAAGCCAAGATTGCTGTCATACTTTCGTCATATCACGAGAGCCAACTCACTCAAAAAGTCAATCATGCTGGAAAAGGGAGAAGAGGCTGCCCTAGTACTCACTGGCTGAACACTATAAAGGATGACACTGGGATGACTATAGCAGATCTAAAGGAGGCAGTGTGAGGTTGAGGGGCATGGAGATTCCTAATCCATACAGTGGCTGAGGGTTGGACATGACTGAATGGCTGATGATGATAATATATAGTATATACAGGAACCATTCTTGCTTAAATTTGGCTAGATTTCTATGATGGATGTAAACTGGCAATCTTTCCACTGCTGCATATTCTCCAGTTTTGGCATCCCAGTCTGGTATTGTCAGCAAAGTTCCTCCTTTCCAATGTTGTGCCAAATTTATTTTTGTAGCTGTTAGCATATCTTTTAATAAATTATGATATTTTTCATTTATGCTTCCTGGAATTATGCCTAATTATACCTATTTGTAGTTCCAGTTCAAAATTTGTTCTTTAGGATTTTCTTAATATTTTGAAGAATTTATTTCTAATACTTTTAAGGGATAGACAAACAGACACACACACACGCACATGTAAACCACCACATAGGGTAAAATGTTCCTTCTTTTTTATGGCATTTCCAATATTTATTGTTAATATGATTTCTTTTATATTTTCTTTTGTTTAATCTATTTTAGGTTCTATAACTCGGCATGATATAGATTCTCCACCAGTTTCGGAGCATGTGGTCAGTATTTACAAGTATGAAGATATTTTTATGCCTTCAGCTGCCTATCAGACTTTTTCATCTCCTCTTTGTTTGTTACTTATTGTTGCTCTGACATTCTATATATTGATGGGAACCCCATGACATCCCGTATAATATTATGACAGATTGAAATTATTTGTCAGATAGTGTTGGTTAAAATTCTACTCTTTTCTATTAGAATTTATATTAGAGGACAATTTAATCATTCAGATTGTGAACAATAACCCTGAGGCATAAATATGTCCCAAATAATTTCAAGATTTGAAATATGTGCCAAATAATTCCAAGATTTTGAAATCAATACAGCAAGTGTTTGTACTTAATTCTGATATATAATTAGCCTATGTTTCCAAACAGATTTTTGGAAATATAGACTAAATATATATTAGAAGTGTTCAGTAAGGTGCAAACACTTGCTGTATTGATTTTCAAATCTTGGAATTATTTTATGCTGCTTACTCGATATTACTTAGACATTTACAAATGTGTAAGTAATACTAAGTAAACAATATAAAACAAGGTAAGATTGCCTGTAATATAATGTAAATATTCATAACATTTTACTGTTTGAAAAAAAAACTACAGTATGATAATGTGATATGAGAAATATATACAATTAAATTTCCTAATGTTTAATTAGCTTTCATCCAAGGAAATATAAATAAGATGTTGGTGAAATTAGATATCATATGTTATGTTATGTTAGTTTTTTGCTTTGAGAGCCATAGTGACTACTTCCAAATAAAGTAATATTTAGGTTTATATCAGCAACCTTTTTAGTCAATGTTCTATGCTTGCTGATGTTTAAGAAATAAACAATGACTTATATTTTTGGTAGCTGAACTGAATGGTGTATGTGCTTGCTCTGATCTGCATCTGGATCTGATAAAAGGATTGACTGGTATTGCCTACTGAGCTCTTCCTAGTTGCTTGAGTGTCCTCCTTTGGAGCTCTTGGAAAGGGAGCTAGCAAAGTTTTCCTGGTTTCTGCTTTGAAGTGTGCTGGACATTTGCTGGGTATGTGCTTAGTTGATTTACAAGTTCTACATTTTGTTGCTATGTCAAATGCTTTAGTTTTCATCAGGCACAATCTAGCTATGTACCCAAGGGACTCACAGTTGTGATCTTCTTTGCTTCTCTTAACAGAGCTTTTGGTTGCTCCAATTTTTAGGGGTTCTCCTCTGTTGGATTCCATAGAAGTAATTAGAAGGGGCATGGGGGAAGAAAGGTTGTAAATTCTTTCCCCCTTACTTCTGCCTCAGTTCTTCCAATAAGGTGTCTATTATTATACAATATTGATATAGCTCTTAAGGTGTTTGAGATGTCTTGCCTCACCAGCTCATCTTTCAAAACTTTGTCCAGTTTTCTCTTAATTGATCAATTACATTAATTTGTTCCATCCTATATCACCAGTAAGTAATTTAAAATATGAATTATAGTTTATTTTCCTCTGGACAAGATTTATGACATCTTTTATGGCCTCCCTGTCCCCTCCTATGTAACATATATATGAAGCTACTGGGCATCTGATGGTTTGTGATAAGGTATCATCCATATGCTGATGATATTTAGCTTTATATGAGGGCAATTCGGAAATAACCTCCATTTGATTATCAATCAGAGACATTTGCAGATACAGAACTTTTATTATACATATTAGAAAACCATAACATTACATTACTTTTTGACATAATCGCCATTTAATTTGAGGCACTTGTCATAATGTCCTACAAGGTTTGAAATTCCTTATTAGTAGTCTCTTGGCATCAAATCTGGGCTATGAGGATGTGATCAAAAATATCCCAACGGAACTGCTTCCCCCCCCCCCGGTAGATGTTTCAGTGTGAAATTGAACTGGTGCAAATGTTGCAATCACCATGCTTGCTTAGGGGTAAGTTTCCTGGGTGTTTTTAATGCTTCCAGATTCTTGTGGTCAATCCATATTTGGAAAGGAATTTTGTTCTCTTCCAAAAAGTGTCACCATGTGGTGGAATATTTAAAAGGTTTTTAAGAGAAAGATAAAGTTTACTCCGCAATTATTTTTGTTGGGTATTATTGTAGATTTTGATGTTAAAGAAACTAGTTTGATGTTGAATCATATAACAGCTGCAAGATTATTGGTGGGGTAATATTGGAAGAAAAACTCACTGCCTACTTTGGAAGAATGGATACTTAAGGTGTCTAATTTAGCAGAAATGGCGAAAATCTCCGCCTACTTGAAGGATCAATCACAAGAAAAATATATTTTGGTTTGGAGAAGATGGATTGATTATATTCAAAAGAAATATGGAACTGATAAGTATTATCTTGCATATGTGTAGATGTTAGATAATTATTAATAGTTTTAATTATATTTTTGTTTTAATTTGTTAATATTTGTTTTGAAAAGGAGTTAAAGTGTGTTATGGTTTTGTTTGATAGTATAGTTGGTTTATGTTAGATAGATTATGTTTGTTTATTTGTTACCCTGTAATCAACTCTGGGAAGTGGGGGAGGGGGAAGGGGTGGGAGGGGTTTATATTGTAAAATTTTATAAAACTTATAATAAAAAAAAGTGTCGCCATGTGAGAAGAGCCCACCTGACTGCGTACGCCTCTTTTTCCCAGACTGCCCACCTCTGCTCTGTTTTGGTGAGTTTTCTTGATGTGTATGCACAGGGCTGTAATGCCCCTTCGTCGTTTTCTTGTAGCAGTAAAACCCCCACTTTTACATTGCTGGCATCTGCCTGAATTACAAAGGGTTTGTTGGTGTCAGGCTGCCTTAGGACTGGTTCTATGGAAAACAGCTTTTTCAGTCTCTCGAATGAGGCTTGGCATTCTATTGTCCATTTTAACGGCTGGCTTGGCTTGGGTTTTCCCTCCCCTCTGGTATTTAGTAAAGTTTGTGATAGGTAAGGCTATTTGGGCAAAAGAGGGAATAAATTGCCAATAGAAGTTGGCGAATTCCAGGAAACCCTGTAATTGCTTCCTTGTGCAGGGTGGTGCCCATTCGTGTACTGCCCGGACTTTCTTAGGGTCCACAAATGTTATAGTTTCTCTGTGGTTCCCCCAGGGTGAGCTGAATGGTAGCATTGCTAGGATGGTGGGCATCCTCCCTGCTATGGATCCATCTAATTGACCGAATGAAATCGGTTTCTTCAGCCTCCTCACTGGAAATCCTAAATTCCTCACTAATGTCGGGCCGATAAGGTAGCGCGTGCACCTGGAGTCAATTAATGCCCTAACTTCTACAGCTTCAGGCATGGAAGGGACTAGCAGAGTTACTGTCCCCTGGTGAGGGGCGCTATGGGTCCACTTACCAGGGGTTCATCCTTGGAGTTGTCATCAGATGAGTTGAACGCTCCTGCTGTGTAGGCTGGAGTTCCCTTCCCTCGCTGAGCTGAGGCAGGGAACTCAACGGTCTCTGTGCCTTTTATGGCTGTCTTCTTTGGCTTCGCTGCTGGTTTTCTGGACTTTCCAGCTGGAGTCTGGTGTGGTGTTCCAGCCGGAGTGTGGGAGTGGTTCGGTGGCATGGTGTCAAAAAGAACTCAGTGGTTCTTTTGGAGCTTGACGGCTGCTTTGCTGGCTTGCAGGTTGGCTCTGGCAACAATTTCCCCACAGTCTCCCTCCTCTGCATTGCCTCTTGCATTGCTAAGTCGATCTCGGCTTCCTCAGCTAAGATGTATCAATCTTGCAGTTGATGAGGGTCTCCACGAGGAAGGCAGGCATCGAAGAGGTTGTAGTTTAAGCCATCTTTGAAGTGACTAAGCAAGACGTCTTTTGGCCGATTCAGTTTGCTGGCCAGGGTTCAGAACTCTTGGGTGTATTCTGCCCCTGGCCATCTACCTTGCTTCACTGTGTTTATCCGTTCTCAGGCTTTCCAGTCAGCCAATGGGTCTTTGAAACTGCACCTGAGGGAGGGTTCGATGATTCCTTCAGATGGGTCTGGAACCTCAGGTTAAGACTCCCCTCCGGTTCCTATCTTGCTGCATCTGATGGATGGTGCCTCGGTAGGGTTTGGCTTTCTCCTTCTTCATGGAGTCGAGGGCTATCTTCATCATGCTGATTGCCTGTTCCAGCAGCCAGGTGGAATGCCTCGAGCGGTCCTTCTCATCCTTGCTCAGATGGAGAGATCTTTCCATCTCCTTCTTCCAACCTGGTTGATGACTACCCCATCTGAGTGCCACCTTTCTAGTTTTCTTCTCCCAGTCATCCTTCTTCCCGATGCCCATCGACCACATAGGCTTGTGGCATTGTTCTGTCACCACCTTTTCTTCCGTGGAGCTTGAGGATCCGGAACTGAACTGGGGTCTACTTGGTGGGAGGTTTCCCCCACTGTAGCTGTTCCTCTCTCTTTATTCTATTGTCTGACATGATTTGTTAGGTCCCCTGGTAAGGGCTTTCCTTCCAGGCTGACTGCAGATCCTGTCCAAAGTTAAGGCCCACTTCAAAACCTCATCCTAAGGAAGCAGAACTCATGGAAGCAGTTTCTTCCAAAAGAAACTTTTATTAGGAGAAGCTGACAGCAGGCATAATAGACAGGATCTGAGGGTTTCCCGCTCAGATCAATAGGTTAAAAGTATCCCAAGCAAACCCCACCCCAAAGTTCATTTGGTCAATTCACATGGGCCAATCCCCAGGTGCTAAGTCCATTGTGGGAAAGAGCAGATAACGCCAGGCTGTCTCAGGGTTGCAGGGATGTTTTGTCGGCTCTCCACACCTTCCCTTCTGAATGTGGAGATAAACTGGAGGCACATTCCTTTCTTCTCCCCCCTCTTTCTAGCTGACATCAAGAGGAGAGATAGTTCACAGAGGAAGTATGCAGAAACAGCAAAGAGTCACAGTGTAGCGATAAAGGAAATCAGAGCAATAACCCACAGTGCTTCCCCCCTCCCCTCCAGGGCATGGCAGAACCCAGAAGTATAGAAAGACTAGAGTATGAGTTAGATAGAAAAAAGCCCCCTTAGAATATGGGTTCTGACAACCACACTGGAAGTCAGCA